CGGAGGAGATGCCAGCTCTATCGCGCCCAGGAGGCTCGCGCAGCAGCTGCGGCGGCGATGCCACCGCCGCCGCCCCAAAATCTAGTGGTGGCACAACCAGGAGGGGCGATGGTGCAAGGAGGAGTGGCGGCACAAGGAGGAGCACCACCGCTACAAGCTCCCGGTCAACAGATGATGACGGTGACCAGGGAGGAGATGCAGAGGATAGCGGCGGCCGCAGCGGCGCAGATGGTGCAGCAAGTCACGAGCCACACATCTCACGCCACCATTGCGCCGACCACGGTAGTAGGAAGCCAGGACGAGGATGTGTCCAGTTATGGAGATGGAGGAGGTGGAAGAGATCGTGCGATGGAGTGAATGGAGGAGCAGTTGCGCCAGTTGCAGGACAAGGTTGAGGGGAGGTCGGAGAGGAGGGCTCGAGGACATCCTTTCTCGAGGGAGATTCTCGCCGCTTCCTTACCGAATAATTTCAAGGAGAATAATCTGGTGTATGATGGGTCATCTGACCCATCGAGGCATGTGAGGACCTTTGAGAATATGGCTGTGTTACATGGATATTCTGATTCTGTATGTTGTAGGGCATTTCTATCGACCTTGCGTGGAGGAGCACTCGACTGGTTTCATCAGTTACCCCCTGGGTCGATCGCGACTTTGAGGATTTCGCCAGTAAGCTCACCAACCAATATTCGAGTGCGGTGGCGCAGGAGAAGACATATTTGACTCTGATGGCGATGAGGCAGGGAGAGAAGGAGTCGTTGAGGAAGTATGTTGCTCGATATAATCAAACATGGTTGGAGGTGCACTCAGCGTCGGATGAGGTGAAAGCAGGAGGATTGATAAAGAGTCCTCGAGCGGGGCCTTGTCGAACCTCCCTGGCAAAGACCCCTGCTCGATCATATGAGGATGTTTTGAAACGATACAGAAAGTATATTAATCTGGAGGAGATGGAGAGGGAGTTTGCAAAATTGGAGGGGGCAGCTCGACCAGAGCCAAAGAAGGAGAAGAGCCCACCCGGGAAGGTCGCCGAGGAGAAGTTTGCCCAAAAGGAGCGGGCCGAAAAGAACATCGCCCAGGAAAGAAGGCCGAGATTCAAAACGGACGAGAAGGGATGACAGGTGGCAGGGGAGGCCATTGTCGTTCGAAAGGCAGAGGTACCATAATTTTACACCCTTGAGAAAAGATTTAACAGAAGTGCTCGAGGCTATGGAGCAGAAGATGTCGAGCGAGGATGTGACGTGGCCGAAGACGAGGTTTACAGGCCCGATTCAACCCAGGTCAGACATCTACTGCCGTTTTCACCGATATTATGGCCATACCACGGAGAACTATAGGCATTTGAAGGATGAGATCGAGAGGCTTATTCGAGCGGGGCACCTGAAAGAGTTTGTGTATCATGATAGGGCTAAGGGAAAAGGAAGGAGGAGGTGTCGGGAGGATTTGGAGGAAGGGAGTGATAGAGATGAGGAGGGAGATGATAGGGATGGTCGAAATGGTCGAGGGAAGAAGCCGAGGAGAGATGGAGATAAGAGAGGATACGGAGGCGAAGCTCCTATGAAGAGAGGGACAATTTATATGATTTCAGGAGGGCCGACGGATGGTGACTCGAATAAGGCCAGGAAGGAGCATGCTCGAGTTGTGAAAAGGAATAGAGAGGAGGTGGGGATTACGGCTCGCATGCCGGTGATAAGTTTTAAAGCAGAGGATGCTGAAGGTGTGGTCTTGCCGCACAATGACGCTTTGGTGATTACTGCAGAGGTTGCGGGCTTTGATGTGAAGAGGGTGTTTATTGAAACCGGGAGTTCGGTAGACATGATGTTTTATGACTATTTTGTGCAGATTAATAAGGAGCTAAATATGGAGTTGAAACCGGTGGCCACGATGCTTTACGACTTCAATGGAGGAGAGGTGATGTCGATGGGCGAGGTGAGTTTGCGGTGGCATTGGGAGTAGGAGAGACGAGGAAGGTACGGATGGTAAGGTTTGTGGTCGTAGGAGCTGAATCATCTTACAACATCATAATGGGAAGAACGAGCTTGAATGCATTCCAGGCAGTCATATCCACGTACCACATGACGATCAAGTATCCTGTGGGCGAAAATGTCGGTGAGATCGCTGGGGATCAACTTACCTCGAGGAGTTGTTACCAGACCACGGTGAGCCACAACAAACAGTTGGCGAAGAGGAAAGCTGGACCGAAAGGAGAGGAGGTTAGTCGACCAGGAGGGTCGAGATCGAAAGAAGATAGGCAGAGGTTGGAGAAGGGTAAAGAGAAGATGGATATCCAGCCAGGCAGAGAGGTGGAGGAAATCCAGATGGTCGAAGGGTATGAGGAGAGGAAGTTTAGAATTGGAAAAGATTTGGAGGAGCCTATCCGGTCGAAGTTGATCGATCTGGTTAGGGAGTTTGCTGATATTTTCGCTTACACAGCAGAGGAATTGACAGGGATAAGTACGGAGGTGATCGAGCATTGTCTAAACATCGACCTTAGTGTGAGGCCGGTGAAACAAAAAAGGAGACACCACGGGGCGGAGATGGAAAAAATCATTGAGAAGGAGGTCGAGAAGTTATTGAGAGCTGGGCATATCAAGGAGATTCAGTTTCCCGAGTGGTTGTCAAATACGGTGATGGTGTCAAAGGCGGAGGGGAAATGGAGAATGTGCATTGATTTCCATGATCTAAACAAAGCATGCCCGAAGGATTTATACCCATTACCCAGAATTGACCAGGTGGTCGACTCAACTGCAGGGTGTGAGTTGCTGAGCTTAATGGATGCCTCCCAGGGGTACCACCAATTTCCCTTGACGAGAGAAGATTGAAAACTGGTGAGTTTCGTAACGAGTCGGGGAACCTATTGTTACGTGGTGATGCCGTTCGGCCTGAAAAATGTGGGCGCCATGTATCAAAGGTTGGTCGATAAAATTTTTAAAGAACAGCTTGGGAGGAATATGGCGGTTTATGTGGATGATATGTTGGTAAAAATCAAGGAAGAGATGGATCACATGCGAGACTTGAAGGAAACATTCTTGACTTTGAGGAGGTATGGGATAAAGCTAAATCCAGCCAAGTGTTCGTTCAGAGTGAAATCGGGAAAATTCTTTGGTTACTTGGTGACCAAGAAAGGTATTGAGGTGAATCCGGAGAAAGTGCGGGCGGTGATAGAGATGAAGTCGCCGGCAAATGTTAAGGAGGTACAAATCTTGGTCGGTCGAATCGCAGGGCTAAGTCGTTTTATATCAAAGGTGGCGGAAAAGAGTGGCCCATTATTTAAAATATTGAAGAAGAGTGCGAAGTTTCAGTGGACGGAGGAGGCACAAAGGGCATTTGAGGAGTTGCAAGGAGTGTTAGCCAATCTTCCCCTATTGGCCAAACCGGTACAAGGTGAGGACTTCGTACTGTACATCTCTATCGGGGAGAGGGCTGTGAGTTCGGTATTGCTGCGAGAGGAGGGGGTAGCACAGTTTCCCATCTATTACGTAAGTAGGGTGATGCAAGGAGCGAAGATAAGGTAATCGGAGATCGAGAAGTGTGCTCTAGGTGTGGTTGTAACTGCTCGAAAGCTGAGGCCTTGTTTCTTGAACCATAAGGTGAAGGTGAGGACGAACATGCCATTAGGAGAAACGCTCGGCCGACCATCGATTTCTGGTCGATTGGTAAAATGGGCGGTCGAGCTGAGTGAATACTCGCTGATGTATGAACCGAGGAGGGCTATAAAAGCGCGGGTGTTGGCAGACTTTATTCAAGAAGGCACGAAAATTGAGGAGGAATCTGGAGGGATATGGTAATTGTTTGTAGATGGATCGGTAGCGAGAAGTGGGGCCGGATTGGGGATTGTGCTTGTTTCCCCTAAGGGTGACTACTTAGAGTTCGCAGCCAAAGCGGGATTCAAGATATCC